CAACACTTAACATTGTTCTCACATTTCAAATACTATTTATTTTCAAAAGGCAAGGGAAAATATGTGGGTTACTAAGAAAATTTATAAATTTAAAACACATTTCCTAGTTTATTGTGTTTTTCATTACCTAAAGCCATGATATCTCTAGCTTAGCACCAAGTGACCAATTCTTCATCCCTGATAAGGGCTCTGGAAAAGCTCCCTTATATGTAGTAGATTTAACTTAATTTTTTATTATTTAAGTTATTATTTAAAATGCCAAGTAGAAAAATGCATTTTAATGAAAAAATGGTATTACATTCCAAAAAGTTTCAGTTCTTTGATACAGTGGTCTTGCATTTATTTTTTCAATCCAGATGTATTACTTGGAATGTTTCTTAAGATTCTTTTATTAGTGTATCTGAAAACAGATTAATTCAGTTTTTTTACTCACAGAATTATATATTTAAAATTAATCTTCAATTCAGTTGGTTAATCATGAGCATTTGGGAAATATCTTTGTTATGCTGAATGAGGGAAACAACTTGTTCAAGCAGATGGTTTGCTTTCATTCAAGCAACAATTTATAGACTCAGAATAAAGTTATATAATTATTTTTAAAATCATGTGTATTTATGAAATTCTGTATATTATAAATATGTACGCCCTAAAGAAAAGTAGCATATTTTAGCCAACTCAACAAAAGTTTTAAAGTTATTTGTTTATATAACTTCCTCATCGTTGTCTTGAATTCAGCAATCCAGCCAGGTATTAAACAGTCAAGGTTGGTAGGCAAGAGTTTTGAAAAATTAACAACTGGGTGTGAAGTGTGTGCTCAGTACATTAACTAGTTAATATTGAGAGTAACTAAAAAGTAACAATAGGGACAAGAAAATAAAAACTAACTAAATAAAATGTACTATCTGTCAGAGGATGGTGCTATGTAAAAAATAATAAGGCAGGAAAAGGCAACAGAGAACCGGATATGGCAGCAGCTTTAAGTCAAGAGATCAGGGGAGCAGCATAGCTATATTTAAAAAGTGTGGAGGATCCCAAGAGGAAGACGCTGTTAACACAGGCAACGAGGAAAGACTGTCCTTCACACAGGTAAAGACTTATTTGCAGTTAAACAAGCTGAGCCTTACAAGAAAGCAATCTGATTGATGGGAGAGGCACTTATAGTCACCTAAAAGCACTGCAAACCACACCTGGCCTCATAACAGCATTCCTTGTAAATGGATTTATTTTCTTATGCTATAGTATGAACTAAATAAATCAAGGGACTCTTGAGATCCATCAGGAGTAAGCCTGCAAGAAATTCCATTAAACAGATATTGCTTATCATTTATTCAGCAGGTTCTCAATTTTAATAGTTCATTCTACAGACACACTTACATATTTGTGCAAATAAGTATGTACAAGGAAACACATCATGGCATTATTTTCAGTAACAAAAGTTTGGAAGCAAAGTTTTGAAACATTTGGAGATCATCATTAAGGANAAACACATCATGGCATTATTTTCAGTAACAAAAGTTTGGAAGCAAAGTTTGAAATATTTGGAGATCATCATTAAGGGACAGGTTAAATAAAGGAGGGCATGCTCACAGAGTGGGATATACACAGCTCTTACAAAGAATGAAGCAACCCTTCCCCCAAGTACCAGTGTGGAACAGTCTCCATGATAAACTGTTACATGAAAGAAGAAAGGTGCAGAAGTCGGGGTATAGCAGAATATCACTTGTGTTTAAAAATTATATGTACAAGAGATAATATGCTTATGTATGTAGAGACTATGAAGGAATATTGCTAACTCTGGTTGCATCTTGGTGGTTGGGAAGCAGGAGTAGGAAGGACACTTGCTTTGCACCATCTGCCCCACTTTACCATTTGAATTTCTTTTAGGCGCCTGCATTAGCTGCCAAACATCTTTTTTAAAAATGTCAACACCACTGTAAATGTTAGTTTAGGTCTAAGAATCTCTGGGTTTAAAATGTAAAATTATTATGATTGATTTAAATAGATTTTATTCAGTATTGGAGTATCTTTTTTCTTCCCTGTTGTACATTGAATCCTCAGACCTTACCATGTTATGGCTGAACGTTTGTGTGGTTTTACTCTCACCATTTCCCCACCCTCCCCACTCCTTGACAGCCTCTTTTCTACTCTCCATTTCTATGAGTTTGACTTCCTTTTTTTAAGATTCTGCATATAAGAGGTATCATGCAGTGTTTGTCTTTCTTTGTCCTGCTTGCTTCATTTAGCGTGATGCCCACAAGGTCCACCATGTTGTCACAAGTGGCAGGGTTTCCTTCTTCCCCCNCTTTTTTTAAGATTCTGCATATAAGAGGTATCATGCAGTGTTTGTCTTTCTTTGTCCTGCTTGTTTCATTTAGCATGATGCCCACAAGGTCCACCATGTTGTCACAAGTGGCAGGATTTCTTTCTTCCCCCTGGCTGAATAATATTCCTATGTGTGTGTGTGTGTGTGTGTGTGTGTGTGTGTGTGTGAGAGAGAGAGAGAGAGAGAGATACCACATTTTAATCCATTTTTCATCAACAGACACTCAAATTGTTTGTGTCTTGGCTATTGTAAGTAATGCTGCAGTGGACAGGGAGGTGCAGATATCTCTTCAAATATCCTGTTTTCATTTCCTTTGATTAAATACCCAGAAGTGGGATTCCTGGGTCATTTGGTAATTCTATTTTTAACTTTTTAAGGAACCTCCATAGTGGCTGAACCAGTTTACATTTCTACCAACAGTGCACAAGGGTTTACTTGTCTCCCCATCTTTACCAACACTTGTTATCTCTTGTTAAGGGACTTACTCCCGGTTTTCTTTTAGGAGTTACGGTTTTAGGTCTTTTTTAAGTCTTTCATCTGTTTTGAGTTGATTTTTGTGTATGGTGTAAGATAGGGGTCCAGTTTCATTCTTTAGCATATGGCTGTTTAGTTTGCATGGAAAGACTGTCCTTTTCCCATTGTACATATATTCTTAGCTCTCTTGTTGTAAATTAATTGACCATATATATATGTTTATTTTTGGACTCTCTTTTGTTTCATTGATCCATGTGCCTTAGATCAGAGTATCTTTTAATTAAATTTCAACAAACATTTATTATATAACTAGCAGGTATTGAAAGGATTTTTTTTAGTCACCAGGGAGAGGCAGAAAAATTCACACTCTTTGTTCCTCTCAAAATGGGTGGCATATTTTGGAAAAGGAGAGAGTCCTATAAATTATTTAGGGTTAATATTTGATCTCTAAAATAACTAGTAAAGTGCATAACCAATAGATAGAGGTTCATAGATATGGGTTCACTAACTACTCAGCCCCTTATTATGTGATTTTAGACAAATTAATCAAGCTCTAGTTTCTTCATTTGTAAAATGGATCAATAGTAATATTTTTTCAGGGCATGCCTTTGATGATTAAATGATACATAATTCCTGTAAATTATTTAGTACAGTGCTTTCCTTTAAATATAGTACAATAAATGTTAGCTATTTTTATTAATCAGTTCCCTTTGTTTATAAGTTTCAAGTCAGGAATAAAAACACCCCAAAAACAAAAGCGCTGTCATCTACACTCTAGGAGCAGTAACAGCTTGAGACGGAAAGCTAACGGAGAATGAATGGAGGAAGACCAGTGATAACTGAGCTGGGCCCAGCGAGTGCAGAAATGAGGCCCCGCATGGCAGGCAGAGGGGCCCGTGAACGAAGGCGGGCAGGTGGAGGCGGGTGGGGCTGGCAGCGGAGGGGGGCAGGCCCGTGCCACTCTGTACCCGCTAGGGGGCTGCCTGGAAGCAGTGTTGGGAGGCGAGGAGACTGAGTAGGAGTGGCTGGTCTTGGGGGTTCTTTTAGGTGCTGCTTAAGAGTTGGGTGTGTTCATTCAGTGGCAGAGATGGAAATTGGGTGACAGAAGACAGAAGAGAGGGTGGGGCAGGAGGAGGAAGGACTGCGAAGGGCGAGAGGACAGAGGGCTGGGATAGTGCTTGACGGGGCCAAAGGGCCGAGGGAGAAGCTGACGCCAGAGCGGGGTGGAGGGGCCTAATTAACGGGGCAAACAGAGGCAGCAGAGGGCGGTATCCAGATGGCAGGTAGCGTGGTGGGGGATGGAGGCCCTTCCGAGACAGGCAGGAAGCTGAGAAGCGGTGCAGGTGGAGCTGAGGCGGGAGGGGCAGGCCTCGGAGGCTCAGAGGCTGCGGCCTGTCAGCCTCTTCTCTTGGGTTAGGAAGGAAATGATCAGTGAGAGGGAGTGTCTGGAGTGGGGTTCCAGGGTTTAAGAGGAGAGGCGGGGGCTTGGATCACCCACTGTGGGAAGCGTAAGAAGCGCTTGACTCAGGAGGTGGAGGAAGTCTGGCTGATGCAAAAGCTTTGTCACAGGCGAGGGCACCAGGGGCATGTGGTGCCATGCGGTTCCCGCTGACAGCAGCCTGGACTCTAGAGGCAAAGAAGATGGACAGATGACCACCCCCCCCAGATGCAAGGAGTTCAGGAATTGAGGGCACTGGTTCATGGGCAGCTGATGGGTAGGGGAAGAGGCAAATCTGAGAAAAAGTGACGGAGTTCGTCTTAAGAGACTAGGATGGGATGACAAACACATGGGGTCTCGATTCAGGGAGCAGGCGAAGCGAAGGTGGGTGAGGAGAGGGGACAAGACAGGATGTGTGGGCTGGAGGGGGGACTCCAGAGTCCAGTATTTTATAGGATTATTTTACTGTTGTTTTACAGAAAGCACTGCTTTAAAAAGTGGCCTTGAAATTCTCCTAACAGCCCAACGGTTTCTGTGTTGGCCTAGAATAGATCGTGAGCAGACATCTTTCTCGAGAGCTTTGTCAAGGCCGCATAACACTGATGGAGCACCAGCCAGCGTGCTCATAGACGTGGGGAAAAGCAAGATTTTAACACAGGCACAGCAGGCCTCTGCCAGATCCCTGGGAACCTGCAGTTGTTCCTCAGTAGAGAAAAACAAAACAACTCCCATACGCTCAGTGATTTGTGCTTCTTGCTTTTAAAGGTAAAACCAGTAATCCACAGCAAGATCAACGTGTCCGCTCGATTCAGAAAGCCTCTTCAGGAACCCTGTACTATCTTGTAAGTGGGAGACCTTTACAGTTCAAGTTGAAATCGGCTGGTGGTTCCTTTTGGTTTGGGGTTTGCCCTGTGATTTTAATGGCATTGCTCTTTCAAACGGTGTGGCTCACCGGCTTTGCTCTTTGTCTAGCTTGATTGCAAATGGAGACCTCATCAGCCCAGCCTCTCGCCTCCTAATCCCCAGAAAAGCCTTGAATCAGTGGGATCATGTGCTGCAGATGGTCACGGAAAAGATAACTCTGCGGAGTGGGGCTGTTCACAGGTACGTCAAGGTAATCCTGGGAGTGGATGGTTTTCAGAGCTGCTGGAAATATTCCCAGGAGGCTCTCAAGTCGCTGCTGGAAATACTCCCAGGAGGCTCTCAAGTCGCTCGTCCTCAATTTGAATTTTGGCTCACTAATTAGGCTCTGTATGCCTCAATTTCTTTTTCTGTAAAATGGGTGTATAGTAGTACTTACCTTATAGGATTGTTTTAAGGAGTAAGATGATCCACGTAAGGAGCTTAAAACAGTTCTTGGCACGTAGTAGCGCATCAACAGATATTAACTATTTTTATTCTTTTGGTTTAGAGCAAACAGGCAATATTCTTTTTGTTAACTTATCTTGAGTGAGCTAGCTTCTTGGCTCTTAATTAACTGTCCTTTTATTCACGAGATAATTACGATTCTTTGATGGTCCAGTCTATTTGCGTAGCATACAACATCAGACACTAGGAGCCGTTAGTGGGTTTAAGGAAGAGGCAGGTTTAGTGGGTTTAAGGAAGAGGCAGGTTAGAGAGGGCAATTAAGTGTGATTGCCTAGACTTGAGAAAGCAGAAGCTTTTTTCTCAAGCTCTGAAATTTAAGTGAAGACTAAAATCATGGATTTTAAATTGTGAAGCCTATGAAATTATTCCTTGATAAAGGCTCACTTTTTTTTATAGGTGGGAGGGTTACAAATAATATATACAAGTACAGAACATATTAAGAATATATATAATATGTGATACACAAATGCTTGAAATCTAATTAAGAGTTTTCTGGTAGTTCTTGAATCCTGTCTTTCTCCCACTCTGTCTAACATATGCCACTGGTAGAATACACTCTTGCTTTCAAGATCTGTTTTTATGCCTGTGTTTATTTCTATATGTCTTCCTATAGACACATATGATAAAATAAGTTCTCAAATGATTGTATATTATGTCTTTCAGTTTAATGTGTATACTTATTCACACATATTAATATATATATATAGTTTCAAAGCCATTTGAATTTTAAATATAATTAGGTATATATAAATATATATTTAATATATAAATGTAATTGAAAGTAATACTTCACATGTAGTAAAAAATATTTCAAACAGGACAAAAGGTATAAATAAAAACTATTACTTTCTCTTCAGGCTCCCAAGTCCCTCTTTCCATCACTTTTCTACATTATTCCAGAAATGTTCTATGCATACAGAAGCCCATGAATCTTTTATTTTTTAAAAACACAAATGGGAACACACACACAAATGAATAAATATATAAACATACCTTATTATTATTTTTTAATATGTTTTTACTGATTTCAGAGAGAGGAAGGGGGAGAGAGAGAGAGAAAAAACACACACACATCAATGATGAGAGAGAGTCATTGATTGGCAGCCTCCTGCACACTCCCTACTGGGAATCCAGCCTGTAACCCGGGCAAATGCCCTGACCAAGAATCAAACTGTGACCTCCTGGTTCATTGGCTGATGCTCAACCACTGAGCCACGCTAGCTGGGCAAACATACCTTATTTTTTTACTGTAACAACATATCTTGGAGATCTTTGTTAGCGCAATTAGCTCTGTCTTATTATTTTTAATGACTACAAAGATTCCATTTTATGAGTGTGCCCTAATCTATCTTAATAGTCTATTCTTGATGGAAACTTAGATCATTTCCAGTCTTTCACTATTACATGTTTATGCCTTTGCATCTAAGTAGAGTTTATCAGCAAAGTAAAGTCTAGAAGTGGAATTATAGTGGTAAATGCATTTTAAATTTTGATAGAGACTGCCAACTGTCTTCTAAAGAGTTTGTACTTACTTGCACTCTCATTGAAAGTGTTTGAGGGCCTGTTTTGTGAAATTAATTTCTCATCTGTGTTGTGAAATTAATACTTTGTTGATTTTTATTTATTTAATATACAATGATGACATCTGTTGAGCATTTCTTTTGTGCAATGCATTATTCCAAGTGCTTTACATTATTGACTTAATTTAGCAATTCTATGAGGTAAGTAGTGTTATTATTCTCTTTCAATGAAACATGAGACACGGGGGTCGGGGGGAGTTACTTGCCCAGGATTATTTAGATAGTGGCTAGCAGGCCTGGATTCAACCAAATTACTGGGCAGTGTGGCTCCAGATCCTGTGCTCTTAATTACTAAGCAATTCTCTAACTGCCACATATTTATCTTACTGATTTGTAGGCACTCTTTACATACTAGGGAAATTGGCCCTTTCTCATTTGAGTTTTGAATATATTTCCAGTTTGTATTTTTGATACTCCTTATGTTTCATTTTGTATGCAGGCATGTTGAATTTTGATGCAGTTGAATTTTCAATCTTTTCTTAATGATCATTAAGTTTTATGACTAGTTTAGGTCTTTCTCACTCTAAGATCATAGAAATATTTTTCTGTGTTTTCATCTTGTACTTTTAAATTTCATGTGAAAACTTTGATCCTTCTGGATTTTATTTTGGGATCAGGAGTGAAGGCAGATCTCAATTGTTATATATGGATTTTTATTAGATATAGTTGTGTGTGTTTTGACATATACATAAATATAAACTCACTAGATAAAAAATATAAAGCACAAAAAGATATATACACACAATTACATGCCCAAGATACACCTATTGATACTTATATTGATGTGAACAAATTTATACATGGAAATAAAATTTATGCAAGTACAAATATAGAAAAGAAAGTATAGTGATATATCCCCTAAACACTTGAATACTTAGAGAAAGTTCATTCTTTTCTTTTTTTTTATTCTCACCTGAGGATGTTTTTTCCATTGCTTTTCAGAGAGTGGAAGGGAGAGAGAGAGAAAAATATTGATGTGAGAGAGACATTGGTTGGTTTCCTCCTGCATGCACCCTGACCAGGGCTGGGGATCAAGCCTGCAACCGAGGTGTATGCCCTTAACCGTAGTCAAACCTGAGACTCTTCAGTCCGAGGGCCAGCACTAGCACTCTGTCCACTGAGCCAGACCAGCTAGGGCGAGAAAGTTCATTCTTAATACGACATCAGATATGGGTGAGATTTGGTTACCGTTCACTTGGGATGTGCCTATTTTTCTTTAATGAAACATTAAAATATCTTAGGGTTGGATCCTACCCTGCACATCAGTATATTCATATATTAATAACATCCCATAAAAATTGGTTCAACTTCCTACTTATGTTTCTTGTGGTTTGTAGCAAAGAAAGAAAGCAAGTGAACAAGAGTCACGTAAAGAAGTGCTAAGATCATGGGCTAGGATTTACTCAGTACCCCTTTCCCACCTTCAGAGGAAACCAATCAAATCTTGGCTGTTTCCAGATCAACAGCTATGCTGCTTTTTCATTTCTAGCTATAAAAGTTAATTACTGATTCAGATCTTCCTCTTTTGAAGGAAAATGAAAGGAGAATGTCTGGGTCTAAGCCAGTGCTTCTCAACCAGGGGCAGTTTTGCCCCTCGAGGACATTCGGCAGTGTCTAGAGACATTTCTAGTAGTCCCGACTGGGGATGGGGCAGTGACTACTCCCATCTAGTGGGTAGAAGCCAGGGGTGCTGTTACCCTACAGTTCGCAGGACAGCCTCCCCATCTCTCCAACAGAGAATAGTTCGGTCCAAAATGTCAGCAATGTTCTGAACCCCTGGTCTAGGTCAAGGCGAGAAAACCAGAACTCTGAGTGAAGTGCTTGACATTTAGACTTGTAGGGAGACGAAGGAGTACAATGTTATAAAAGCAGAGGCTTTGGCATCTTATACTAACTCAACACAACCACATTCTAGGGATTTTGGTTGCTATTTCCTTTGTACTTTGTGGCTCCATAGGATATGGCCATTTACATAATCAGTAAACAAGCAGACAGGTCAATGGACTTTTTATTTCCTCTGCAAATGTCACTAACTTTTATTATGTAATAAAAGAAGTCTGAGAATTTTTGAATGGTTATCTTGAAATCTTTCCAGTTGCTCTTGTTTACAACCTTCAAATATATGCATTGTCATTCTGTGTAGTTTTCTGATAGTCTGTTTTTCTCCCCCTGTTCTTTAAAGAAATTCTCTGGACACTTTAAATGGTCTAGAAAATTATCACTGTTCTTTTAATAAATAACATATTAATTGTAGTTTGCAGCAGCAGTTTTACAGTAAAGGGAGGTTCTTGTGAAATCCATTCTGGGAAGATGAGGGGAGGCAGGGAAATAAGAGGAAAGAAAGAAGCAGGAATGTTATGCTGTTCTGCATCATTAATACTGGCAATGGGTTCTTTCACCTCCTGCCCTCTCACCTCTTGTGTTCTGACCCAGTTTCGCGCGCCTGGATGTAATCTTTTGACTGACGGCTGCTCGTATACAGAATGCTTTAGGAGGCATATCAGTCTGACAAGTAAATTAAGAAGATAAATTTTAAAAGTAATTACAAGGTATAAATAGAACAATCAAACTTCAACAGAAGCTGAGCTTTATTTAAGGCACTGCATTCTGTACAAGTTAAATCTTTCCCGCTAAAATCTTAATGTGGCAGCCACAGGGGATATCATGTCAGATTGTCAGGTTCACTGGGATGCAAAACTGTACGGCTAGATAGCTACTGTGCCTGCCTTATAACGTTGGCATTTGGCTGAATCTAGTGACTTTGAGGCGTTTGCAATTCAATAATTGGGGTAGTAACAGATGAACCAAATTAAGAACAGAATGTTTTTATTTACTTTGTAATTTTAAGCAGTTCTTTCAATGCTTGTTAAAATTTTAATTGTTGGCATTCATATTTTGGCAGACTTTATACTTTAGAAGGAAAACTGGTTGAAAGCGGGACAGAGTTGGAAAATGGGCAGTTCTATGTGGCTGTTGGCAGAGATAAGTTTAAGAAATTGCCTTACAGTGAATTACTTTTTGACAAGTCAGCAATGAGAAGGACTTACGGGTAAGCTTTCATCTTCGTTCACTCCTCATATTTTGGTTGTCACTTGAAATAGCGCTGAGTCTTTTGCTGACCACTGTATCTTTGATATAATCTTGTTTATCAGTTAGACCGGAAAGCATGATATACATTGATCTTTGTTGTTTTTTTTTGGCCATGATTGGAAACTTAGAGCTATTGCACAGTAATTTTGGGAACTCTATGAAAACCTATATAGTATATTTTTTACTATATACTTTTTAAAAATTATTCACTTATGATTTTATACTAAATATAAAAAACTGTAAAATATAAAAACTATAATTCCACTTGAGCAAAGTAAGTAGGTTGACTGCCTTTATAGTTAATACATGTAACACTTTATAATTACAGTTTTAATTACACATGGTGTACTGAGAACCTTTTTTCTCTATGACATGTCATATATTGGTGAACGACGCCTCATTTCAGCCAAGTTGTGGACCACAGAGGCAGGCACGAAGGGCCCTGGCCCTTGGCACATGCGGGGACCCTCCCCTCGGCTTGCTCACAGGCTTGGGGAATCAATTTCTGCTGCTTTTTACAGATAGTCCATGACCACTCTGCTATTGGAAATGAAATTTTTTGTGCTAGTTCCCTGCTAGGGCGGGTGATACCTTGTAGAGAGAGAGCAGAATGTCGCCAGTATGTTGCCCGTTAATTCGCAGTTTGTGAAGCCTGATGGGGAGGCTAGCTGAGGGTTTCTAGGTAAGTATTAGATGAAATGAAATTTAAGGGGTGCTATGTGAAGGCTTTCCAGCGCTTCGGAATTATTCACGAGCAGGCTTATTGCTGACCATCCTTACCCATCCATGAAATCAGATCCTTCCACAGCCTGCCAGGCTACCCTGGATTCGTCTGCTGTTAGCTTCAGTGTGTAATTTATGGCAGGGAGAAAAGTCTAACTCACAATGGCCTTTCTCAGGCAAATTAGTAAGATTTATATGTTTCTGTGTATCCTATTATTTACAGAGCCCTATCAGAGTATACAGCATAGACATTTAAAAAAGTGAGAAATTTATTGTTTAAACTCAGTTTGACCAAACCATTACTCATCTTGAGAAATGATTTCTTGAAATTCCATTTAGAAAATTTGGAGAATTAAATAAAAATGCTATGAAAATATATAAGGTGGTACTAAAAGTTTATTATAAGTATCAATTACAGTAGTATGCAGGAGAATATTAAACATCTTTGGAATGGAATTTGGAAATTTTATGATGGCCTTTGAGAAACTAGGAAAGTATGTAGGACTTTTGTGAAACACTGATGTCAGTAAGCGGTTGGCTTTCGGGTTGGGATGACAAAATGGGATGACGATTGTCTTGCATTATATATTATTTGTAAATAACACTCATATTTCTAATTGCAATTTTTCTCCACAGTCAGAAAGCTTCTTCACTGCCTCCTATTGTGGGATCCAGAAAGTGTAAAGGGAGTGTAAGTATCAGATGGTTTACTCATTAATGCTCTACATGCCTATACAACACAGAGAGACTGTCCTTTGGGTTTCAATTAAATTTGAAGAAATAAAACTTAGCTGGTTTATAAGCAGTTATATGAAACAACAACTAGAACATTAAAGTTACAATTAAGGTCTTAAAAGAGAGCTAACAATTTTAAAACATAGATTTCAAAATAAGTATCGTTTTCCTTGTTGTATAGACCTGATACAAGTTATATCACAGTTGAAAACTAGGCAGTATTACATAAAACTAGAAGAAATGCTGGGGTAGGCCACCTTAGCGGTCCACCCAGTCCTGTTTCTTATATCCGACAAAGACTGAAAAAGAAGTTTTTGTAAAAACATGGTGAGCCTCAAATACAGTTCTTTAAAAGGCTGAGAATCATTCCAAATATTTATTCTCTATTAGAATCTTTTCCATTCATCATTCATTCATTTGTTAATTCAGCAAACGTTTATTAAATACCAATTGTGTGGGAACTGTGACAAACATTTGGTAGGTAATTTCTTAACTTTGTATTTTTCATCTGTGTCCCTCATGGAGATGAATTTTATATCATGCCGCAGTATTGCTTTGACAGANCAGCAAACGTTTATTAAATACCAATTGTGTGGGAACTGTGACAAACATTTAGTAGGTAATTTCTTAACTTTGTATTTTTCATCTGTGCCCCTCATGGAGATGAGTTTCATATCATGCCGCAGTATTGCTTTGACAGATTTTTTTTTCTAGCCGAGGCTTCTCTTTCTACCCTTTTGATTGAATTTCCAGACCAGTAGTGATCAGGATTGATTTCACATTTCCCCTCTCTGAATTAACTGAGCAAAGTTCTTATAATGGTGTTCTGTGAAATAAGTGACTGTTTGGCAATGGTACTGCCTCCTAGTGATGATTTAGATAGCTCTTCCATCCTGTTGGTTATATCATGTGCAATTCTTGAAAAAAAAAAAATAAATAATAATTTTGCATGAAGAAGTCATGCTGAACTCAGCATGACAAACAGCAGACGTTTATAACCCACTCATACAACTTACGACAAAGTACTTGCCCTCAAGAAGCTCACAATCTCATAGAAACAGAGAAGATAGCTTGGAAAGGTAACTAACACGCTAAACATCAGATTTGTGGTGAGATCAGTAAAAACATGAGGCAAAAGGAATCAATGTGCATTGGTCAGCATACAAGGAGAAAGGGGAATTTGAGCTGTGCCTTTAAGATTCAGGCAAAGTCAGTGAGGGGAGAGGGGTGTCAGACAGAAGGGGCGGTGTAAGGAAGGGAGGTGAGCGTGGGAGAAGAAATGATGCTGGCTGGTATTTGGTGGACACTGGATGGCTCTGCAGTATGACCGTGTCTTTACAGATGTGGTTCACTAATCCTCCCCCCACGAGGCAGGTACTATTATTACTGCATTTAAAAATGAGAAAAGGAAGCAAACTGGAGGAGTACCTTGTCCAAAAGGCTTCCGTTGAGCAAATGGCAGGGGAGGGATCGCATCCAAATGGTCTGCCTGGAGGAGGCTCGTGCTTCTGACCCCAGGGGACAATGAGTGGCGCAGGCTGACTGCAACAGATGGCCCGTCGTGGTGTGGAGGCTGATGTGCCCAGGATGGTAGGTGGTGGCGGTGTTCGATGACTTTGGATGTCAGAATGGCGAGGCTAGTCTGTATCTTTGAGTAGAGGGCGGCTCCTGAGGCTCCCGAGAGGTGAGAGTGTTAATCCAAATCCATTCCAGGAACGTCAGATCTTTTATGTGGAGAAAGAATTAACATGGCGAGGGGCCATACATGAGAAGTCACTTACGTGGCAATTACAAGCAATAGCCTTGGTATAAAGTGGTAAGAATCTAGACTGGGAAGCGGTAGAGGTAGCAGGAGGTGATTGCTGCTCATGAAGAAATGGAAGACTTGCTTGGTGATTGGATACATGGGGTTATTGGAGAGGTTGGAGCCAAAGGTAACTGCAAGCCTTTGAGCTTGGATGCCGGAGAAGATGGTAGCACCATGGCCAGGATGAAGGCAGTCAGAGGAAAGAAGAACCTGCTTAATTTCAGACATATCAGTTGGAAGTGTCTTCATGAAGTCTAGTAGAAAGTGTTCAGCAAGCAGTTGTTAATGGTGGAGCCTGAGGTCTGATGTGGACATCAGAGGTAGATTTGCAAGTTCTTCCACATAACAGCCATAGTTGAAGAGCAGATACCTGTCACTGTCATGTTCCTTCCTAGCACCCAGCCCAGCCCAGCAAGGAGCAGGCCTCATCCTGTGCTGAGTGAGAGTCTGGGTGAGTGGAGACTAGACAGAGAGTGTAGCGAGAACCACAGAGGACCCAGGTATAGAGAGAGAGAAGACAGAAAATATTCCGGTAGCTGAGAAGTATGTTAGCCACTTTAAGGCTAAGTAAACCCATGAATTTAGGGTTTGGAAAATATGTCCTCTTGCTGTTCTTGAATAAGTGACCCTAGGACACGGGGCAAGTTGGTGTCAGAACCAAGATCGTGACTCAACTCTATGCATTCACAATGAATGAACTTTGGAATTATGTGCTTACTATTCTGTAATTTGGAATGTATAACTTTTTTTAATTAAAAATTTGTAATGTGCTTCCTGCTTTAAAACCACGTGCAGGAGGCACTCGTGTGCAACTTAGACCCTGTGCTGTGAATGCCGGGTCATCTAATAATGATTGATTGAGGTTTCCATATATCTGGCACGGAACCATGCCCCAGGGAGACAGTGATAAGCAAAGAGATGTGGTGCCTTCTCTCAGTTCATGGTCTACTTGGGGAGACAAAGGTTAAACAAACGAACCACAAATCTATATGTAATCACAGAGCGTGGTGGAAATGAAAAGTACAAGCAGAATGAGAGGCCATCAGAGAACTGCCTCAGATAGGGTGTCGGGAAAGGCCTCTTTGAGTAAGTGACCTGTCATCACAGACTGTTCCCATCTTGTAGAAAGCAAAGATTCAGAATCACATTCCCATGCTCTTAGGAAAATAAAATGATCGCAGAGTTTGTTCCCCTTTTCACCATGCGGGTTGTATATTTGTCCATCCATTCATCTGCTCATTCAGTCATCCACTCCGCATTTATTTACTGAGCATGTGCTACTCGAAGCACCCGGCATGTAGTGGTGAACAGACAGAGAGAGAGAGAAACATCAGTGTGAGAGAAACATCAGGCAGCTGCCTCCCATAGGGCTGAACTCCTCAACCTGGGTAGATGCCCGACTGGGAAAGGAGCTCCACCTTCTGGTGTGCAGGGCGGCGCTTCAGCCAACTGCACCACCACCTCTTCAGGGCTACTGTGAATATTTTTAAGTTGTGATTCTAACCTTGAAAACAAAAGGAAGATATAAGTGAATTGTCTTAAGTTTTATAAGTTGGAAAAATAAGCTCATTAGCAAAAGGCTGTTCCCTAGCTGGGAGGTCACTCCGTGTAGGATCAGAGCACCCTCTAGTGGCAGAGGTGCAACATTAGAGAAGTATTTGGAAGTTAAAGCCAAAGACTGAAACTGTCTTTTGTGATCAGTATATCTTGTGAGCAATAATTTACAGATTCTAATACTGTAATGGTTAAGGTTTTGGTTAAAAGAAAAACCCACGTGATTATCCAAGTATCACAATGTCCCTGTGAAACAAGAAAAAATCCGCCTGCTCCTAAAACTCCAGTTACCTGGCAGAGAAACTGAGTCCAGTGTGGGTGAAAGGGCTTCTCACGCTTGCTCTCACCAGATACTCAGATGAGAGCAACACCAGACTGAGGCCCTTCCAGTTCCTGCTCTTCAGGCCCCCCTCCCAGGGGCGTCCCTGAGACACACGAGGTGGAGGCTGCTCTGATAGGCAAAACCCTCACAGAGTTATTTTAAACTTGGACTTAAACTTTAGGACATGTTTTTATGGGGGCTGGAAATAGGTTTCCGTAGTAATGAAATAAACCTGATTTGATTGGATTTTCTTGGACATTGCCTTGGGAACTGTTTAAAAATCCCAATTTCAGTAGAGTGAAGGGAATGAAAGGGCTCTCGTTAGTATTTTGCTTGTTTGAGCTAGAAGTTTCCTATTCCTGTTAGATAAGCTGAGATGTGTGTGAGGCAAAAGGTAGGACAGTGATTTAAGTATCACTGGGGATGAGTTTTTGCATAGGACGGACGTGCTGTAAAATGAGATGCTTCTTGATTCCTTCCACTTTGGGGTAAAGCTACACATTGTCACTTGTGGATGGCTTTTTTAGGAACCAAACTGTACAATAGCTGTTTCTAATGCCCTGGCATCAGCAAGCTCCAGTGTAGCAGAAAAATCAGACCCGGTAATCTTGAGAAAGTGAATTCCTTTATCTATAAAGTGAGGACAATGATACCTATCTATAAATTCGGTAAATATTCATGTTAATGGGTTTTATGAACTGGCATGGCTGTGTGAGATAGCAAAACTCCCCTGTTCACTATGCTCCTCAAATAGCAATGACTATCTATGTGTCCAAGTTATTAGGCACATGTAGAAGTCCCCCAAAAGAAAGAAAAATCCCCCTCTTCATTTCTGTCCTCTCTCTAACATAATTTCTTATATATTTGTTTTATATTAACACTTTAGGTGAGTCAACATTTTTTAAAATGATAAGCATTTAAATAGTTTCCCGTCTTCTAATTGCAAAACAGTTCTTTCCTTGCTCTCCATTTCTGTTCGTACAAAGTACCTGGTGATTAGTCATGAATCAATAATTGAATGCATGAGTAACAGTTACCAAAGCATGCTGTATATGGTTATTGGAATCAATAGTCTTTCTTGATGCTCCGCAATCACCCTTTTGAGGGTAACTACCAGAAATGCAGTAAATCAGAGCTTCCTGAACATTCAACAAGAGAGTTTTTAAAATTATATGAATCCCCAAGCATTTCATTCCAGGTTTCTGCTTCTCCCTTGTTTATACCTCTTTTGTGAATAAGACTTTTCCCAGAGAGCTGCAAAAACTATTGTGCCAAGATCCAAATTTCTCATTCATGAGGTTTCATTTTAGTCCTTGAAAGTTCCACAGCATCTCTGCACATTCTAGTAGGCATGCTAGAAGGGTTATTCTTTTCATTCAAGGCTTTTAAAGTTTTAAAATCCTGGGATGGATAGACATGGTTGAAAATAGACTAGAATATGAGACCTGGCTGATAGTTTTTGAATCTCCACTATAATCATATTATCTGTTTCTTCTGCCAGGCAGTTTATGGCCTTGCGAGAAAGAATCATTAAAGAAACGAAAAAAAACAACAACTCTGGTAGCAGTTAATGCAATAATTAAATGGAAACTGTATGCTTAAATTGCAGTTGGAATAGGAAATTAAATTATGCAAAGAAGTGTTATAGATTCAGACACGTTTTCCTACTGTTAATAAATCTATGCATAATTCATTTTTTTGTAGGCTGTGACAAAATAGCATAAATAACTTCATTTGTAAGGCTGTGAATTTTGCTGTTCTTAATTGGGTGAGGCTAAAACTATTTAAATGCTTCTGAATGACTGAATATATAAATGTTTAAAGAGAGCAGTTATAATAGGTTTCTAGGCAGATTTGTTTACTTAATATTACTACATTTATTTTTCAGATACTAGCATAGTACAAATATTGCATAAAGATTGCACCCAATATGGTGTGTTTGATAGGATTTTAAGAAAAAGATATTATCTCTCTGCTCTTATAGAGAGCACTCTGGTACTCATTGAACAAATATGTCAGGCACCGTACCAGTTACTTTATAAACATTGCCATTTCATTCTCATTATAGACCTAAAGGCAGGTACATCAACCCCTTTTAACTGATGTGGAAACAGGCTCAAGCAAGGTAGGAGCTAGCTCAAGTTCCTGTAGGCGGTTAGTGGCAGAGCAGTGGCTCTGAGCCAGGTATTTGGGGATTATAAAACTTACATTTTTTCCATTACCTGCAGCTTCACACCTTACACACTCAGGCAAATTTAGCACCTGAACTTCTGAGAGCCAAGGCTGTCCTGTTAGGAGGTAGTTACTTGCTGTAGCAATGGCCAAGCAGTAGCTGAGATCAGCACAACTGTTCCCCGAGCACTTACACTAGCACCACTGCAGTGGCTCCTCAGGAGCCCTCCTTGGGCCAGTGATCGGAGCTGCTGAAACTCAGCCCCACCTTGCTGCTGAGGAGCCCACTTTGCAGATGCAAGGTCTTCCTTTCGAGGGGTACGCGGGGACTAGAGGCAGCCACCGCAGGTAGCAGGTGCGACCGTTGGCGCTGTCTTGCGGGAACGCGGCGTGTGGTCTTGAACTGCTGGGGTCTGTGTTGCTCCGGATTTGTGAATCATGGACACAATAGTGTCACTATTTCTCATTCAACAGATAGCTGCTGATCCTTCAGAAAGCACAGGAGGGAGGGAGATGGTTAAGGCAGAGGGACCTGCCCTGCTCTTTGCGGGCTGCATGACCTCGGACAAGGTTCACTTTTCGGTGCTGTGCGAACAGTACCTGTCTCACAGGGGTGTGAAGGTTGAGTGGCATCATTTCATAAAACGCGTGGTGATATTAGCTAATCAACAATGAGTGTTTCTGTGCTGCTTCCTCTGCTAGGCCCTTCCCCTGCCCCGAGGAATGTGCAGCGTAGTTGTTAAATTGGACAGGAGCAGCAGCAGCATCGTGCACCCAGCCCGGCCCCGGTCCCGGCCCTGTTCCCCTGAGGCCTGCTTAACGACTTGTCTGCGACCCGGCGTCACTTGGGGCGTTCACTAGCCGATGATAAGGGTCTGATCTTTTTGCCACTTAGGGAAATGATCGCCAGTCTAAGTCAACCGTAGGATCCAGTGACGACTCTTCTCCTCAGCCCCCAAAGAGGAAAGGAAAAAAAGGCGAAGTGAATTTAGAAAAACCCACAAAAGGGAAACAAAACCAAAAGTTAAAGAACTCACCACGAACAGTTCCCAACAGCGGTAAGTTTGTTGTTGTTGTCATTATATTGTTGTTATTAATCGTTATTATCTTAAGGCTGTGATCCAATTTAACGCTTAAATAGGTCCATTTTCCCCCTGGGCGCACAGAAGATACTCCGTGTCGTACATGAGGGTTTTTACAGAAAGCTGTGTGTACCGGAGATGCTGTTTGTCACGATTAATTCCTATTTGTAATCAGAGGTTGTGCTACAAAGGCATGTGTTTTGAGGTAAAATATTTCTGGTGGTGATCTTATAAAACAAAGTAAATTTTACCATCCTTTGCTCCCGCCGATGAAAGTGCTTAGTTAACATCTTTTACCCACTGCTATTGACATTGGCTTCTCTTCTTGTGTGTCTACGACCCTTGTCCACGTTCATTATGAATTACCTCTTAGTCATAGATCAGTTTTCACACACAAAAAGGTTTACTGGTTTTCCTGATACCCAAGAGAATACTAAACACACATTGAAACTTTACTGCCAAACAATATGTACCAAAATTGGTTATGTATCTCGCATTACCAGGTGAGAGCTGGTCTGAATAATTTTCTAAAAATTTGTATTAGTGCAAGATTTCGGGATAAAAGTGTGATGAAGTTAGGACATGTGCCATCAGAATTGTGAATTTTCCCGTTAGTTTTTGTGAAGATCGGCTCTTTGGGCTTCCACTCCAAGCGTGTTCCCAGTGGGGCAAGCACATGGCAGTGAAGTGATGCCGTGGGCAGGGAAGGCTGCTGGGTCCCAGCCCCGTGGTGGCTGCTTCTCCTTCCTCCTGGGGTCCACTCGCACACTCCGCAGGGGGCACACTGGGGTGCCTAAGAAGAGGATGGGTCGGGGGAGGTTTCAGATCCAGGGCCAGAGCTCCGTTTTCTTGCCTGGGAACTCCAGCTCATTTCAGAGTCTCTGTGAGGGTTCGCATTAAAACCACAGCTAAGGCGGGCCTCACAGTCGAAGAGATTCCATGAAATCGTGTGAAGGTTTAGAGGATGCCACACGGATGAGTAAAGAGAAGAAAGATGTGTTGAGACTAAGTTAAAAGAAGGAGCTAATTACATAGCGAAGAAAGAGCGGAGGGAGATTAAATCTTCAGGGACTGAAATGATGAGGACTTGCTGGAAGCTGAGAGTTCTAGCTAGATTCTTGTCCCAGTTTCTGCCATTGACCCTGGGCAAGTCACTTAACATTTCTGGGCCCCATTAGCCATCTGCAAAATAAGGGGTTCATATTAAGATTTATTTTTATGCTTATCTTTAAGTGTGTGAAATTCTTTTCAGTACCATGAAACAGGGAGGCCAGGGTGAAATCCAGTCAACAAATGCTTGTTGAATGCTTGTTGTATGGCAGACACCAAAGGAAAAAAACTAGCCTGGAAGAACATGCCATACTTTGCGCATTAAAAATATTTAATTTAATCAATGAAGGGTTTCCCCCCAAAATGTATACATACTTTAACAGCTGATATCTCAATTTTGAAAATGAAATTATTTTAATAATTGCCTTTATAATTATTCAAAGTGTATAAATACTTTTTCGGGAGGATGCCCTATATATACCAGATTGTGAAGCCCCCAAAGCCATGGGCTATGTCTTACTAGTTCCTTTTTAATTCCCAACAACTTGCACAGATCTGATAGGTATATGAGACACTTAATAAATATTGAGGAATGAACGATGGAAGTTACAAAATAGAGAAGTGTCTGTAATACTTTAAAACTCACTAAGAAACGGGACTCATTTTAAACTTTTTGTGAATTATTTTCTATTAAAGACTTTTCAATAAAAGGTTACTTGCTTATTTCCTGTGAAGCTCTTATTAGTTTGTGAAAATCTTAATTCCTACTTCCAATATATTTTTTAAAGTCCTTAGAGTTAGTAGTTGTCCCTCAGAAGAAAGGCAGCCATCATCTTGTCAGATATCTCATTTGTAGAAACTTGGGAACACAAGAGGCTCTATCAATATTCTCCTCTTTTGCAGGAAAGTAACCTTTATTAAAAAGTTGAATTATCAATATTTTTGCTTTTGTGGAAATCCACAAATAGTTTTCAACAAAAATTGTATCTTTGGGGATGAAAATAATGAAAATATGTTGAACATTTAAGCAAATCATATTTTAGAAGTGCTAAGGAAGGCCAGAAGCCCTCATCTGTTCTCTCCTTGTCTTTAGAGAGTCCTGCAGGTGTTGCAAGTAACTGTCCATATTAAAGGTATTTTCCGATATAATTTTATAAAGTGCAGCTTATGGGCTTTTAACTGGTGTATCTTATGGTTATATAAAACAACTGCTGGTGTCTTTCAAATGAAGGTTTTGAGGATTGAATTTTTTTATTAAACTTACTAGCATGACATTGGTTAATAAGATCATATAAGTTTCAAGTGTGGATTTCTATGATACATGATCTATATATTGCACTCCGTGCCCACCACCCAAAGTCCAGTCACCTTCCGTCACCATACATTTGTCCCCCTTTACTAGCCCCCCACCCCTCTTCCTTCTAGTAACCACCCTCCTGTTGTCTGTGTCTGTGAGTTTCAGTTTTATATCCCACATATGGGTGAAATTATATGGTTCTTAGCTTTTTTCTGACGGACTTATTTCACTTAGCATGATATTCTCAAGGTCCATCCATGTTGTTGCAAATGGCAGGATTTCACCTTTTCTGGTGGCTGAGTAGTGTTCCATTGTGTACATGCACCACGTCTTCTTTATCCAGTCATCTGTCGAAGGACGCTGGTTGTTTCCATGCCTGTCATGACCACCGTGAATAATGCTGTAATGAACTGAGGGGGACATATGTCTTTGCGAAAACATGTTTTTGAGTTTTTTGGTTAGATATTCAGAATAGGGATTGCTGGGTCATATGGTAGCTTCATTATTAATTTTTTGAGGAGCCTCCAGACTGCTTTCCATAGTGTCTGTACTACTTTACATTCTCCCCAGCAGTGAAGGAGGGTTCCTTTTTCTCCACATCTCCAACACTCGTTATTACCTGTCTTGTTGATAATAGCGATTCTAACAGGTGTGAGGTGGTCTCTTGTGGTTTTAATTTGTATTTCCCTAATAGCTAGTGAGCTTGAGCATCTTTTCATATACCTGTTGGCCATGTGTATGTCTTCTTGGGATAAGTGTCTGTTCTGGTCCTCTGCTCATTTTTTTAATTGGATTCTTTGTTAAGTAGCCTATTCAGTGTTACATTCTAGAGTTAGGATGGATATCTATGATTGTTTCATAGTATATGTTAAATTTTGCACATTTTTGACCCAGTGTTGTTTGTTGTTGTTTTTTTGTTTTATTTTGGGTTTTTTTTTTTGTTAATCCTTACCTAAAGATATTTTTCCATTGATTTTTAGAGAAAGTGGAAGGGAAGGAGGGAGAGGGGGAGAGAGAGATAAAGAGAGAGAGGGAGAGAGAGAAACATGGATGTGAAAGAAACACATCAGTTGGTTGCCTCCCACATTCACCCTGACAGGAGCCGGGGATTGAACCTGCAACCCAGGTACTTGCCCTTCACAGAGAATCAAACCCAAGACCCTTCGGTGCGTGTGCCGATCCTCTAACCACTTAGCACACCGGCCAGGGCTTGACCCAGTGTTCTTTACCTATATACTGTTCTCAAGTTAATTAGAAAAAAGAGGCTTTCTTAATTTTTGTAGGCTTTTAAAATTTATGTGAGCTTCCTTAATTGTTTTATAATTAATATTGTAGTCATAAATTTTGCCCATTTCTTTACTGCTGTTTACTGATATCCCCATATCTAATGCTGTATGAATGAGCAATGCTGATGTCAGTCTGTAGATGGCAACCTGGGTCTAATTTTATTTCTTCTGCTCTTTTCTTTTTTTCTCCCGCTGACTGTTTCTCTCTGTAATAGTAAAGCTTAATAATTCAAGCAAAGCAGTGACATATTTCTTCAGGGAGACAAATCCCATTTTCTTTTGGTAGCCAAGATGCAAAGTAAGATTGGTTGGTGATTGATGAAGTTGGGTGTGAAATGCATTTTTAGTGCTGCATTTAAATACCAGCTTAGCTGGCCAGCGTATGTTTTTGTTACACTTTCTGCTTGAATTGCCGTGCCTTGGGATATGTTTTAGAAGCTGTTAACTAGCTACACTCTCCACCACTGTGAGCAAAGTAGTGATGATAATTGTTTTGAAATTGTATTTTGGAATTGATTATATTCATTGATATTTTAAATATTTGCTACATTAAAAAAATTAGTATATTTATTAAGCTTAGAACACAGGAAGCATAGTGAATTTAGGGGTCCTTTTAAATATTGTAAAAACTGAATAGAAAATAGCCTGGTCTGTACTGCTATGGTTTATGTGGTATTGATAATTATAAATACTTTTAAAAATCAGAGTATTAAAATGTAAGCAAAGCCAAGACTTGTTTTCTTTCACAGGATGTGATTCTCTGCATGCATGGGTGCGCTTTTGCGCGCGCACACACACACACACACACACACACACACACTCTCTAGTATTCTCCCTGATGCAGTGCCTGGCTTATCCCCAGCATCGTTCTGTGATAGTTCCAGGGGAACTTGGTTGTTTAGACTCCTGATGAATGATAGGGAGCAGGTGCCGGGCCTGGAAAGGATGTCGGAATATTATGACCTTGCTGGGTGACTGCCCTCGAGCAGTCATGCTCTTGAATTTTCTAATAGCTACAGCCTGCACATGGCTTGCTGCGTCGCCCCGAGCATGGAGCATCCCTGCAGTACATCCTCAGCCTCAGAGCCCGGGCACTGAAACCTGAGCTGCTTTCGTTCAGCTGACGAACCAGCTCCGGCACTTGCACGGTTCCCAGTCACAAGGGATTCTGAAGGTAACACAGGCAGCACATTTTGCAAATATGCTCTCCCAGATCTCACCCTTTAAGGGATATCATGCACTGGAAGAGTACATATGAAAAGGCACTAAGGTGACCTCACAAGGCAGGGCCTTGTTTAGTTTATTAACAAGCTAAACTAAGGTACATGATTCAGTTGGTGTCT